ATGCATTTAATAGTGTGTGTGTGTCCAGTCCAGTATCAGAACAGAACTGATAGGATAAAGGGAACACCAACTCACTGCTTTATGCAAATTCTGCTTACATGCCCAGGCTCAAATATCTCTTGGGCTATTATCAGAACTCCTAATTCCAGCGATAACCTTTTCCTTGCTAGGCATTTTAGAGGGAAGTAAACTCCTAGGAAATAAATTATTGTAGTTTTTTCACAACTAGGCCTGGTAACTCCTCTAATTTTCAAATAGGGTTTTCACATTCTTCAGGAAAATCTATTTTTACCAAGTGCCCCCCAAAATATATGGATTTCTTGCCCTGGCAATGATGGTCCCCCCACAAAGAGGCTTGTCCATAGTTTTATAAATTAAGCATTGTCTTTACCTGTGAATAACAGAAAATTCCAAACAGTTGTTGTTATTAGGGATTTTATTTTTTTCACAGGAGAATTCCAGAGGTAGGTGGCTTTATGATGCCCTGAGATATCTAAGCCTATTCTGGTCTTCTATTCAATCGGGACTGCAACATGTGGTTTTAACAATTTTCACTGTCCAGTGGTGCTCAATAAGGGGGTAAGTGAAAGAAGAAATTAACCTTGTGTTTAGAAGTAACACCTTCTCTTTCTCATGACAAAGCTATATGGTTTGGCTATGGTTAACCATGTCTTCTCAAGACAAAAAATAGCTACTCTACTTCCTGTATCACATACATATAATAGATAAGAAGGAAAAAAAGGGCAGAGAACAAAAGAAATACACAAGATGAGTCATCCTGACCGTAAGAGCTTTTCTAGAAGTTCAATCTGGAGATTTCTATTACATCTCAATGACTGAACTCTGTCACATGCCCACTCCTAATTACATAGAAGGCTGGGAAATGTATATCTTCTTTTAAACTGAGAAAATTGTTACACACAAAAATCATAATTCTCTTAATATGAAAGACAAGTCGACTAATGCATTGATGGAATATATTTCCCACAACAATTGTAAGATTCATTCATTCAAAAATATTTTGAGGGAGCTACTATATGCCAGGTACTATTCTAGACAATGGGGACACAACGGTGAGCAGGACAGGCATGTTCTCTACATTAGGGCAACTCACCTAAACTCTATGGACCTAATTTTTCAAACCTAACAGTGATAGTGCCTACCTTGCATGATTGTTGTAAAATACGTCCAATTTTTACAGATATATATGTGTATATGTGTGTACAAATAATGATAATACAAATATAAATAATGATAAATTGTATTAGTACCATTTGTAAGTAATCTATAGTTTTCCTATTGATTTGAAAAGCTGTCTTAATTCTACACTGAATTATAAATATTCTTTTTTCTTTTTTCCAGTTTTATTAAAATATAATTGACATATAACATCATATAAGTTTAAGGTATACACCATAGTGGATTGAATATATGAATATATTGCAAAATGATTACCATGATACCTTTGGTTAATATCTATCACCTCACATAGTTACATTTTTTTCTAGTGACAAGAACTTTTAGGGCTACTCTCTTAAAAACTTTCAAATATACAATACTGTATTGCTGGCTATAGTCATCATGCTGTACAGTACACCCTCATAACTTCTTATGACTGGATGTTCATACGTTTTCACCACCTCCACCCATTTTTCTCACCCCATCCATCCATGCTGGCAACTACTAATCTGTTTCTATAAGTTTAGTATTTCTGGTCCTACTTATAAATGAGATCATGCAGAATTTGTCTTTCTCTGACATTTCACTTAGCATCACACCCTCAAGATTCATTCCTGTCATCTTTTCTGGCTGAATAATATTCCATATATATATGGAATATATATGGAATAACATTGCATGTACTAACTAATTAATTGTGACTGTGTTGTGTACCATTTTGGAAAGGACTGTGTGGCTCTATCTGGGCTTGGTGGGAGAGAGTACCATGACTGTGTACCATGAGAGTGTAGGTTGATGAGGGATATATATATATATCCCACATTATCCACACATTATCTGCCAACGAACACTTAGGTTTTCATGACTTGGCTATTTTAAATAATGCTGCAATGAGGGGCGCCTGGGTGGCTCAGTTGTTATGCGTCTGCCTTCGGCTTGGGTCATGATCCCGGGTTCCTGGGATTGAGCCCCGCATCAGGCTCCCTGCTGGGCGGGAAGCCTGCTTCTCTCTCTCCCACTCCCCCTGCTTGTGTTCCCTCTCTTGCTGTGTCTCTCTCTGTCCTATAAATAAATAAATAAAATCTTAAAATAAATAAATAAATAAATAAATAAATAAATAAATAAATAAATAAATAAATAAATAAATAATGCTGCAAAGAGAATAGGGATGCAAATATCATGTTGGGATAGCGATTTAATTTCCTTTGGATATACACCCAGAAGTAGAATTGCTGGATCATATGATAACTTGATTTTTAATTTTTCAAAGCCCTCTATACTGTTTTCCATGGTGCCTGCACAAATTTACATGCGTAGTATGAGTGTACAAGGGTTCCCTCTTCATTTCCTTGCCAGTGTTTGTTATTTTTTGTCTTTTTCATAAGCTATTCTAATAGGTGTGAAGTGATATCTCATTGTATTTTTCATTTGCATTTCCCTCATGATTAGTGATATTAGCACCTTTTCATGTCTGATGGCCATTTGAATACTTTATTTAGAAAAATGACTACTCAGGACCTATGTCTATTTCTAAATTAGATTATCTCAGTTTTTTGTTTATTATTTGTTTTTCCTGTTAAATTTCATGAATATTTTATGTATTGTGGATATTAACCCCTTATCAGATATGTGGTTTGCAAATATTTTCTCCCATTCCATAGGTTCCCTTTTCTATTCCATTGATTTTTTCCCTTTTTTTGTCACCTTTTTATTGTTATCTTTTTAAAAAATTTTTATTTAAATTCAATTTCATTAACATATAGTGTATTATTAGTTTTAGGGGTAGAATTTAATGATTCATCAGTTGCTTATTACCTCATGTGCCCTCCTTAATGCCCATCACCCAATTACCCAATCCCCACGACCTACCTCCCCTCCAACAACCTTGTTTCTGTCCTATAGTTAAGAGTCTCTTATGGTTTACCTCCTTCTCTGTTTTTATCTTATTTTATTTTTCCATCCCTTCCCCTATGTTCATCTATTTTGTTTCTTAAATTCCACATATGAGTGAAGTCATATGGTATCTGTCTTTTTCTGACTGACTTATTTCACTTAGCATAATACCCTGTAGTTCCATCCACATCATTGCAAATGGCAAGATTTCATTCTTTTTCATGGTTGAGTAGTATTCCATTGTATATATATACACCACATCTTCTTTATCCATTCATCTGTCAACGGACATCTGGGCTCTTTCCATAGTTTGCCTATTGTGGACATTACTGTTATAAACATTGGGGTGTATGTACCCCTTTGAATCACTATTTTTGTATCCTTTGGATAAATACCCAGTAGTGCAATTACTGGATCATAGGGCAGTTCTATTTTTAACTTTTTGAGGAACCTCTACACTGTTTTCCAGAGTGGCTGCACCAGTTTGCATTCCCACCAGCGGTGTAAGAGGGTTCCGCTTTCTCTGCATCCTCGCCAACATTTGTTGTTTCCTGAGTTGTTAATTTTAGTCATTCTGACTGGTGTGAGGTGGTATCCCATTGTGGTTTTGATTTGTATTTCCCTGATGCCAAGTGATGTTGAGCATTTTTTCATGTGTCTGTTGGCCATTTGTATGTCTTCTTTGGAGAAATGTCTGTTCATGGCTTTTGCCCATTTCTTGACTGGATTTTTGGGGAGGGGTGAGTTTGATAAGTTCTTTATAGATTTTGGGGCGCCTGGGTGGCTCAGTCCCTGGGATCAAGCCCTGCATTGGGATCCCTGCTCCGTGGGAAGCCTGCTTCTCCCTCTCCCACTCCCCCTGCTTGTGTTCCTTCTCTCCCTGTGTCTCTCTCTGTCAAATAAATAAATAAAATCTTTTAAAAAAATTCTTTATAGATTTTGGATACTAGCCTTTTGTCTGATAAGACATTTGCAAATATCTTCCCCCCATTCTGTAGATTGCCTTTTAGTTTTGTTAGCTGTTTCCTTTGCTGTGCAGAAGCTTTTTATCTTGATGAAGTCCCAAGAGTTCATTTTCACTTTTGTTTCCCTTGCCTCTGGAGACATGTCTAGCAAGAAGTTGCTGCAGCTGAGGTCAAGGAGGTTACTGCCTGTGTTCTCCTCTAGGAATTTGATGGATTCTTGTCTCACATCTAGGTCTTTAATCCATTTTGAATTTGTTTTTGTGTATGGTGTAAGAAAATGGTCCCATTTCATTCTTATGCATATTGTTGTCCACTTTTCCCAACACCAATTGCTGAAGAGACTGTCTTTTTCACATTGGATATTCTTTCCTGCTTTGTTTGAGATTAATTTGCCATATAGTTCTATGTTCATTTCTGGATTTTCTATTCTGCTCTATCAATCTATGTGTCTATTTTTGTGCCAGTACCATACTGTTCTGATTGCTACAGCTTTATCATATAACTTGAAGTCAGGAATTGTGATGCCTCCTTCTACTTTTCTTTTTCAAGGTTGCTTTGGTTATTTGGAGTCTTTTGGGGTTTCATACAAGTTTCAGGATTGTCTGTTCTAGTTCTGTGAAAAATGCTTTTAGAATTTTTTTTTATATATTATATGGCCATTTAAAATCTTTAATCAAATTTCATCAAAGATTACCAGCCATATTATATGCCATGATTAGCTTTCTATAAACAACTTTGCTTTCTGTGTACAAATCAATGTCAATGAAATAAAAAATAAAACCATATCCTAGGCAAAGAACTTTATTAACCTTTTTTCAAACTTTATTTCCAGGCTTCTTCAGCTTAATTAGCTGCAAAGAATGAATTGTGTATAAGCAAAACCTGAAAAGAGCTGCAATGTCCAAGGGGCTTGGGCTTAAAAATATTAGAGATCTAGAATTTATCAGATCCATGAATAAAATTGTAAAAAGCAATCATAATATAAAATAGCAGTTCCCAGTAACTTCTTCAAGTTTTATCTTCTTCAGAAGTTGACTCAATTCAGTTTGCTTCATTCTTGGAAGCTTCATCAAAATTCTCCACAAGATCTGGAACTTCATCATCATCATCTTCTCCAGTAGCAAGTGGTGCTTTTCCATCCACAGATTGTTTGGGCAGAGCTTCAGCCAGTCTTCTTAAACTAGTCAGACTGTCTGCACCAAGTTGGTTTAAGATACTGGATAGCATTTCTGTCAGCTGCTTTATCTCAGCATGGCCTGTAATGGTGAAAGTGTTTGCTGCCAGCAATGCCTGAACTTTGGGGTTGTTAAAGTGGATCACTGTTCCTTGGTCTGTGAACATACTCACTTCTTCAATACCAGAGAAGTTGTTTACCCCTAACTTCTTTAAGGAGAACTAAAGTTTTTTATCATCTGATGTAGCCATTCTATGAACTACCTTCTTCTTTCAGGGAGCAGTTCTTTTCCCACCAATGCACACTTGTGCTTGCAATTTGGTGAGTTTCTCCCGGTTCATGATAGTTTTTCTTTCATCTTGGAGCGGAAATTGGATGGCACGGAGGAATAGGGTTGGTGTTCAGGGCGTCTCCTGTGGACCAGCTGAGATTAGGTGCATACACGCAGGGATGCAAGATGGCAGCTAGAGGCACTGTTAGTATTTTGATAGGGATTGCATTAAATGTGTAGATTGTTTTTGGTAGAATAGACATTTTAAAACTATTTGTCTTTCTAATCCATGAGCATGGAATGTGTTTCCACTTCTTTGTGTCCTCTTCAATTTCTCTCATCAGTGTTTTATAGTTTTCAAAATACAAGTCTTTCACCTCTTTGGTTAGGTTTATTCCTTGGTATGTTATTGTTTTGGGTGCAATTGTAAATGGGACTGATTCCTTAATTTCTCTTTCTGTTGCATCATTACTAGTGTATAGAAATGCAACAGATTTATGTATGCTAATTTTCTTATCTGCAAATTTACTGAATTCATGCATCAGTTCTAGCAATTTTTTGTGGAGTCTTTTGGGTTTTCTATATAGAATATCATGTCAAAGTATTACTTCTTCCTTGCTGATTTGGATATCTTCTAATTCTTCTTGTTGTCTATTTGCTGAGTCTGGGACTTCTAGTACTGTTAAATAACAGTGGTGAGAGTGACATGCCTGTCTTGTTCATGACTAAAGAGGAAATGCTCTTAGTGTTTCCCCATTTATGATGATATTAGCTGTGTTTTTTTTTTCATATAAGGCCTTTATTATGTTGAGGTACATTCCCTGTAAACCTACTTTGTTGAGGGTTTTTATTATGAATCATTGTTGCACTTTGTCAATGCTTTTTCTGCATCTACTGAAACATCATATGGCTCTTATACTTAGTTTTATTAATCTGGTGTATCATGTTGATTGATTTGTGAATATTGAACCACCATTGCAAACCAGGAACAAATCCCACTTTGTTGTGGTGAATGATTTTTTAAATATATTTTAGATTCTGTTTGCAAGTATTTTATCGAGAAATTTTGCATCCATGCTCATCAGGGATATTGGCTTGTAGTTCTCTTTTTTAGTGAAGTCTTTATATGGTTTTGCTATCAGGGTAATGCTGGCCTCATAGAATGAGTTTGGAAGTTTTCTTTCCTTTTCTATTTTTGGAATAATTTGAGAAGAATCAGTATTATCTCTTCTTTAAATATTTGGTAGAATTCATGTGTGAAGCATTCTGGCCCTGAATTTTTGTTTTTGAGAGTTTTTTGATTAATGATTCAATTTTTTTGCTGGTTATCAGTCTGTTCAAGTTTTCTATTTCTTCTTGTTTCAATTTTGCTAGTTTATATATTTCTAGGAATTTATCCATTTTTTGCAGGTTTTCCTATTTGTTGGCATATAGTTTTTCAAAATATTGTCTGATAATTCTTTGTATTTCTGTGGTTTTGGTTGTTATTTCTCCTCTCTCATTTGTGATTTGATTTATTTGGGTCCTTTCTCTTTTCTTTTGGATGAGCCTGGCAAAAGGCTTATCAATTTTCTTAATTTTTTCAAAGAACCAGCTTCTGGTTTCACTGATCATTTATATTGTTTTTGTTTTGTTTTGTTTTGTTTTGTTTCTTTCTTTCTTTTTTTTTTAGATTTAGTTATTTGAGAGAGAGCGTGTGTGTGCATACATGCAGGGGGAGGGCAAAGGGAGAGGGAGAGAGAGAATCCTCAAGCAGACTCCCCACTGAGGACTGATCCCCTCTTAGGGCTCAATCCCAGGACCCTGAGATCATGACCTGAGCTGAAATCAAGAGTTAGACACTTACCCAACTGAGCCACCCATATTCCCCTACTGTTTTTTAGTTTCTATATCATTTGTTTTTGCTCTAATCTTTATTATTTACTTACTTTCTGTTTTGGCTTCAGGCTTAATTTGTTTTTCTTTTTCTAGCTCCTTTAGGTGTAAGTTTAGGTTGTTCATTTGAGATTTTTCTTGCATCTTGTTGTAGGCCATTATTGCTCTGTCCTTCCCTCCTAGGATGGCTTTCATTGAATCCCAAAGGTTTTGGACAGTTTTGTTTTCATTTTCATTTTTCCCATGTATTTTTTATTACTTCTTTGATTTCCTGGTTGACCTATTCATTGTTTGTTAGCATTTTGTTTAACCTCCATGTACTTGTGGTCTTTCCAGATTTTTTCTTATGGTTGACTTCAAGTTTCATAGCAATATTGTCAGAAAAGATGCATAGTGTAATTTCAATCTTTTTGTATTTGTTGAGGCCTGATTTGTGACCTAGTATGTCATCTATTCTGGAGAATACCCCATGTGCACTTGAAAAGAATGTGTATTCTGCTGCTTTAGAATGAAATGTTCTGAATATATCTGTTAAGTCCATCTGGTCCAGAGTGTCATTTAAAGCCATTGTTTCCTTGTTGATTTTCTCCTTAGATAATCTGTCCATTGATGTAAGTGGGGTGTTCAAGTCCCCTACTATTATTGTATTATTATCAAGGAGTTCCTTTTTTATTTGTTATTAATTGTTTTATATATTTGGGTGCTCTCATGTTGGGTGCATAAATATTTACATTTGTTAGATATTCTTGTTGGATTATCTCCTTTATTCTATATAGTGTTCTTCTTTGTCTCTTGTTATAATCTTTGTTTTAAAGTCTAGTTTGTGTGATATAAGTATGGCTGCTCTGGCTTTTTTTTTTTTTAAGATTTCATTTATTTGCGAGAGAGAGAATGAGAGACAGCAATGAGAGGGAGGAGGGTCAGAGGGAGAAGCAGACTCCCTGCCGAGCAGGGAGCCCGATGTGGGACTCAATCCCGGGACTCCAGGATCATGCCCTGAGCCGAAGATAGTCGCTTAACCAACTGAGCCACCCAGGCGCCCTTGGCTTTCTTTTTTTTTTTTTTTTAAAGATTTTTATTTATTTATTTGAGAGAGAGAATGAGGTAGAGAGCATGAGAGGGGGGAGGGTCAGAGAGAGAAGCAGACTCCCTGCTGAGCAGGGAGCCCGACGTGGGACTCGATCCCGGGACTCCAGGATCATGACCTGAGCCGAAGGCAGTCGCTTAACCAACTGAGCCACCCAGGTGCCCCGCCCTTGGCTTTCTTTTGATATCCTTTTGCATGATAAATATTTCTCCATCTTTTCACTTTCAATCTGCCATGTCTTTATGTCTAAAGTGACTCTCTTGTAGGCATCATATAGATGGGTCTAGTTTTTTTAATTTTCTTTTTAATCCATTCATGCAACCTATGTCTTTTGATTTGAGCATTTAGTCCATTTGTGTTCAGAGTAATTATTGGCAGATATGTATTTTAGTGCCATTTTATTACTTGTTTTGTTGTTGTTTCTGGAGATTTTCTTTGATCTTTTCTTGTCTTTGTCATTTTTGGTCTTTCCTTTCCACTCAGAATCCCCTTTAATATTTCTTGCAGAGATGGCTTCAAGAACACCTTTAGTTTTTGTTTGTTTGGGAAACTCTATCTCTCCTTCTATTCTGAATGGTAGCCTTGCTGGATAGAGTATTGTAGGCTGTAGATTTTTCGTATTCAGCACTTTGAATATATCATGTCACTCTCTTCTGGTTTGCAAAGATTCTGTTGAGAAATCTGCAGCTAGCCTTATGGGTCTTCCTTGTAAGTGAATGACTTTTTCTTGCTGCTTTTAAGATTTTTTCTTTATCAGTATATTTTGCAAATTTAATTACAATATGTCTTGGTGTTGGCCTGCTTTTGTTGATTTTGATGGGAGTTCTCTGTGCCTCTTGGATCTGGATGTCTGTTTCCTGCCTCAGATTAGGGAAGATTTCAACTATCATTTCCTCAAATAAATTTTCTGCACACTTTCCTCTCTCTTCTTCTTCTGGGACTCCTATAATATGATTGTCATTATGTTTGATGGAGTCACTGAGTTCCCTAAGTCTATTCTCGTATTCCATAAGTCTTCTTTCTCTCTTTTGTTCAGCTTCATTATTTTCCACTATTTTGTGTTTTATATCACTAATTCATTCCTCTGCTTCTTCCAGCCTGCTGTTATTGCATCAAACCTGTTTACAATCTCATTTGTTGCTTTCTTCATTTCTGATCGATTTTTTTTAACTCTTTTATCTCTGTGGTAAGGATCTTTTTGATCTTCTATTCTCATCTCAAGCCCAGTGAATATCCTCATGATTTTTCCTTTAAATTCTCCATCAGGTGTGTTACTTATATCTGTTTCACTTAGATCTCTGGCTATAGCCTTAACTTGTTCTTTCATTTGGGATAAATTTCTTTTCCTGGCATTTTGTCTAAATCTCTGCCTTCTTCTTTCATGTATTAGAAAAGCCAGTTATGCTTCTGCTCCTGAAGGTAATGGCTTTATGAAGAGGCTATGTAGTGTCCAGAACCTGGTGCTTCATAGAGACTCTGGTGTGTGCTGCCTGTGCTCTGCTGTTGTGTTTTGGCTGCTCTGTCCCTCAGGCCAGTCGTCTGCAGAGGCTCTCCTTGCCTGCTGCGGGCAGTGTTTGTTTCTTGGTCAGAATGTGGCAAGTTTTAACTAGCTGTACTCTGGTTTGCTTGTGAAATGAGACCTGATACTAGTTCCACTATAACTGAGGCATTGCAGATCTCTGGTTGGGAGATGTGGTGTGGGTTGGATTTTGTGCTGGTTCTGGGGGAGGGGCCTGCCATGCTGGAACTGAAGCAAGCTTGACTGAGAAGGGCAGCTCCACCAGAGAGCAGGGTGTGTGGCTTGGTGTAAGCAAGTTAGGCAGTCAGTGTGAGCTCTGTGCTGCTACTAGCAAGTGCCTCTGTGTGTATGCTGAGGGGTGGGAGTGGGGGGAATGGCACTGACCAGATCCTTTCTCCATGGAGAAGCACGTCCTTGAATGCTGCCACTCAGGGAAGCACTCCCAGAGGTGTGAATAAACCCCTTGCCCCCCACTAC